TGCTACTTTAAGCCGAGGCGTCATTCTGGTTCTTTCGATTTTTAGAAGAAGTGTTGGCCACTTGAAGTAAGTTTTATGGAAACATTTTTGGTATCAAACCGAATTTCTATGAAACACTTTCATAAAGTTTACCTGTTCTTCTATCGTCTGTGCGGGTTCCAGTAAACGTGACCGGAACGTGTGCTTGGTTTACATGGCCATTTCTAACGTCGGCCTTCAAGAGGTTTCCACCTCGCTGGTGTTCGTGTATGTGTTGACGAATTGCAGCTTGAATTCCCGTTGCCTGTTTGAAGAGAAGAATAGACATTTGTTTGGATATATACGTGTTCAAACAACCTACTCGTACTTCATAGCCGGTTAAAGATTAGATAAAATTTGAACGAACTACTTGAAGGCAACCAAACAACGGTTTTCTACTCGTACCTCAGACATGGTTTTCTCAGGATAGTGTTCTTTCCAACTAGATTACCAGTGTATAGCTTCCAAAAGTTGATAGCTGTAGTACAGCGGAATTGTGATCCGGAGTTGTATTTATACAAAAAGTTACGGGCAGGAAGTTAATTATGCAAATTGCAGCTCGGGGATTCCCCGAAGTCACGCGCTTTACGAAGAAAATGATAAAGACTAAAAAAATGTTAGTCGCAAATGATTCTCGTTGATCCTGTGAAACCGGTTGTTTATAAAGCGCAGGAGCATGTGCTACGCTAGTGGGGAAAATTCTAGATTTTATCCCATAAAAGAGAAGAACATATATCGGAATTTGAAAATCGCCATGCCACGCTACGTAAGAAAGAATCAGAAATAGCTAACATAGATTTCAATTTGGTTTTGCTAAAAGGTTAGTAAAGTTTCTTTAAGAAAATGAAAAGATAGAACTTTCCTTTCTTTGCTGTATAAAATTAGCATGAAAGTCCTGGTATTTTTAGGGGTTGTCACGCGTTAGATCGCGTGACATGCAGCTTTACCGGCTGGAAAATAACGTTACAGGTTATATTGCAATTTTGTACCGGATTGTTAACGCAAATACTTTCGAATTTTAAAGAGCCCAGGACAGTGTAGAAGTTGAAAACAGAATAGATTCCTTGAGAATCTATTTTAGAAGATTCCAAGCACCTGTTATGATAAATTCTGTTTGAAAATGAAAACATTTAGGTGAATACTTTCAATTTAGGAAATCTAAGTCACGGGGTATTTGTCCTGTTTCTTTATTTTTATAAAACACGATATGCGTAGACTACTGAGCTGGTAAAATTGAGTATAAAACAAGTTGAGCACGTGATTTGCTCCGTAACTATACTAGGGTTCACTAGTTCATGATGAATACAATCTATACCGTGGTTTATTTACCGATATTTGATCAGCTTTAATCGAGACATTTGGAAGAACGCATTCTCTAGGCTCTTCGTCGTGGAATCGAAGGAGAAGTAGTCGTTTACTAGACAAAGGTTGAACATAGAAATGGCACATTCGATCACTATAACGCAGTGGACACTTGACTTGTTGCCCAGTTCTAAAGCGAATATTTTCAAGGATTTTTTTTTAAACAGCATGATGTTTTTATACCCCTCCTGATTGCATCATCAAATGGCTGACCACAGAGTGACCTTTGTTTAGGCTACAAAACGACTGGGCATCAACACTTAAGAAAAGTTCTTCTTGTCAAATATTTCAAACAAGACTGTATGAAGAAATAACAAACAAACCGTGATCGTGACAAGTTCAATAGCAAAAGAACTATTGTCTCGCTTCGTGATTATGCTCCGGTTCTAATTTCTAACATCCCTCATTTATTCTGCCCTGATTGGAATTGATGTATAACACTTTAAAAGCTTCGCTTTCACTCCGTTTCCTTTGGCAGATGTCTTTTCGACATCTTTTCCGTTCTCCCCTTCAGGAAAAGCAAGAGAAAGTCGAGGACAAAGTGCTAATTTGTAATTCTGTCTCTAGTAGTTGGTCGTTTGAAATATTTACATCACTTAATGAATATTTATTGTGAAAATATGAAATTAAGAGAAAAGACGTGTCTATTATGGCTGTGAAGCAGTAATCTAAAATTCAAACTAATTTCCTTTAAGTCAAAACAAAACTAAAATGCACTCTTAGCTTCTCTTTAATCATGCATTCTCGATCTCCACGGCGTACAACCGTATCGATTTCTGGCGTTAGTGAAACGTATATTTTTTGCAGTTGTTTGAGTAGAAATATTAAATTTCTTCGCTTTAAATGTGTTTACCTTGGTCAATCCTGTCTGTTCTACTTCAATTGTTTCCAATTTGATCACGGACATGATTTTCCACTACAAATACACTTTAACTTGGCTTGGATTTCTTTCTTCCTTGGACACTAACGTTTGAATGACGATACATTCTATGAGCTCTGTTTACAAACGTTTAACTAACTTCGGGAAAAGTCCCGCAAGTAACTTCAGCCCGGATAAGTGACTTTAGGTAGGGAAATTTCACAATCTTGGGACAAAGGAAAATGTCCCAGAGTGGAAGTTACGATTTTAACCCGAGTTAATTAATCCCGAGCTTTTAATCTTGTTGTGAGACGCTCCCGGAATTCCTTTACACATACAAACACGTGTATAAGCTCATCTACCGTATGCAATATAAACCATAAACAGATGTACCAATTCAAGTTGAGCAAGGCTCCAATGTATGAAAACTAGCTTGCAATGGCTCACATCTAACACATCAGTTGTACAGGCTTGAAGCTGGACGCCGGACATAACGTCCGTTAGTGTGGCGTAGTAACGTCCGGCAGTTTACAAGAAATAATTAATAAAACATTATTGTGATGGGTCTCTCATGGATGGAATGAACTTGCTGAAAATTATTTAAATTAATGTTATACAAGAGAGTATGATAGTCTCATGTGTTATAATGGTTAAGAAAACCATCTGTCACATCGATCCGGAATTATCTCAAATTCTTTCCGATAGGAATCCATTCTGGAATCTTCTGGAAACGGATTTTCAATTCAAATATTTCACTTTTTTTGTGCGATTATCCAGTTTCTCACTAGATTATGAGAGTACTTCCACTCCCCGGGTAGGGAGGGGAATGTTTTGCGCGCGAGGACTTTTAATATCACGAGGATTGAAACACTTTCACGTGCAATATTTTGTCACTTGTACTGCTAACTTTACGAAGGCGTTATTTTACTTAACGTCGAGAAAAGAATAAGCTTAATTGTGCAGGTCACTAGCAAGCTTCTGGCACCAGTCTGAAACTAACTCCCTTCCCTTCCTAATGTTTAGAAATATGGTCAAACACGGTCTTTTTGTTTGAATTATTACATCAGATACGATACACCTTGTTTTGGCCTATTTCCATGCAGACACCGTCTAAAATGGAATGGCACAGCGAAGTATTTTTTTTAAAATAAGCTTCGATCCGTTTGGAAATGTGATAATACATTGCCAGGCTATCTTCTCAATCGAAACTAAAGGGAAAGAGATTTACGGAAAAATAAGATCGTAAAAAGTTATGCTTACCATACAGCTGTGATCATTACTTCATTCGCATCAGCTGGGAGAAGGCTAATTTATCGTGATTGTTTTTTTTTTGCATCCAGAGGCAAATTGATCTAGGCGTGTTCGTAATTTTCACACTCATAATTTATAAATAAATAAATAAATAAATAAATAAATAATTGTTAGAAAGCTCGAGAAATAAAGGATTTACATTATGTGCTGGTGATATTAGGCTTTTATATCAATCTACTAGACATTTCTATTTTAAGTTTTATTATTTTCCAAACCTTACACACATGTCCTTTGGTTCGATAGCTTTGATTTTCAGTTTACTCAGTTTTACATCATAAGAGGTTCATGTAAATATTGAACCATGTTCGTCGATTTTGTGGCCTTCCATCTATGAAGCTCGAGGATGGCACTGCGCTCATGAATACCCTGCCGTCTTCATCTGAGTGGAGGTACTCCCCCGTCTCCAGCGACTTCAAGGATCGGCATTTGGACCTTAGCCACGGGGTAACACTTTTCACTTGAAAAAAGTATTTGTTCTGTGAAGGTAAGACATTCGATTTCTGTCGATAGATAAGACGGAAGAAAAAACGTTATTATGAGAACCTCAAAAATAATCTAATAACATTGCAATTCCGATATGAACATTTGATTAGATGTTCTTTTGTAGGAAAAAGAACCCCTGATCGCACTCAAGCGTTTTTATGTCACTTGACTACCCTTTCAATTACTTTAGGCCCCGTCCACACTACACTGGCGAAATTTTAAAACGCAGCTTTACTTCTACGGTTAGGTCTACCGTCCACACTAATTCGTCACGATAGCGGAGATTTTCGGAAACGCTCTTCAAATCGGAAGAATTTTAAAACGCCTGCTTGTAGAGCTTTGTAGAGCATTTGTAGCTGTTTGTGACTGGCACGGTCAGGCAGAAAAATCTGACGATGACAATATATTGAGTAGATTAAAAAGTAACCTCTAAAGCGCATTTTCTGCGAACTTGTAAGCAAACAGGTATATAACTCACAGAAATTAATTGTTAGGTCTGGTCAATATCTCACTGTATCACCATGGGTCAGTTTAGGACATCAGGTCAGACCTTAAGGGATTCGTAATGCTACCGGAAGTGTAACGCTTGCATTCTGTTCACTTTACATTTTATTTCTTAACATAAGAGTAACCTGTACAGGCTAACATGAGAGTATAGTCTACACGTTTAATTAAGCAATACGTGAATTTTCCGGAAATTATTCTCGCTGACTGGGTTTCGATTCCTTTGATATCAGTATCATTTCATTCCAGGAAATACAATAACAAACAACAGAGTTAAGCTAAAATTGTCTGAAATACAGAGCCACATAAACGTTCCTGAAATGGAAGTCATGGAATTTGAAACTGTGTGACAATCTGTTTTAGGAAACCCTTTTGATAAAGGGTTGTAAATTCTGAAGTTCCAAAAAACCTAAATGCAACCATAACCATAGGTAAAATCTAGGGATCACGACGAGCCGATTTAAAATGATACAATGCGCACTTTCCGAGAGTAAGCAAAGGTATAAATTACAAAAATTGATTGTCAATAAGGGTCGAATCGGGTCAGATATATAGAGGCAGATCGAATTTTATTCGTAAAATTAACGGAAGTAAAATTGTATCCAGACTACTTGATATAGCGCTACGCTTGCATTACACACTACACCGGGGTATGTGATGTGGACGGGGCCTTGCTTGCCATGTATAACATTATGAATTTTAATGACACAATATAGCTAACATCAATATTCATTGAACTTACACGAAGTAGCACTTTGCCTTCGCTTTCCTACACACAGATAGTAATCGTTCTTCCCTTCTCTGTACCTGAAGGCGTTCGCAAGTTTAGCATCACTCTTTACCATGTGGAATTCGGAGAGTAAAGCAGACAGCAGCAAAGTCATACAGTCAAACCTCCATTAAGCGGCCACCCCCTGTAGAGGAGCCAGTTGTCAAATTCCCGAAATTAAGTGGCCGCGGCCGCCTGTTGGTAGACTGTTCACAGTAGCGAGACGCCAGCGCAAAACGGAAGACTTGACCGGGTAGGCGGCGTGAAACGAGACGAACCCCACCCCCACCATAGTGACCATAATGAAACAAATTTGAACACAAATGAAGGGGAATTCTCTGTAAATGAACAACAAAAGGTGCATTTGCTTTGTCGGGCTTTGCAGCCATTTGCCGCTATATATGGCCATGGTTAAGTCCTCTGTTTCGATTGACGGGGGAAGGGAAGGGGTAGTTTAGGGTGACTCATGTCTTTGACCAATTATAATTGGTAAATCCTGTAGCCATATTTATCTTTCTCAATCTCATTAAAATTCATCAAGTAAAAACAAAGAAAATTGCAACCGTGAAGGAGGTTTGAATATCCGGTCTTAATAAGCATAGATATTGACGACTTTACTTCTCCGTTTACCCCTTATTTTTTTGTTTCGCTAGAGAAGATATATCAAACACTGAATACAGTGTTTCATTGGCTTTCCAAACACCTCGAAGTGCGTCAAAAATACTCCACTGCTCGTCGTATATTCAGCTCTCTTCTCGGTGTTTGGATATCCGGATGAAACTCTGTCTATTGTGTTTGATATATTACATGAACATTTGTAGAAAACGTCGAATACCTGTTTTTGAATCCCACGGGTCTGTTCCAGTGAACGACACATTCCGTGCTTATGAACTTCCTCTTGGTAGAACCTTTAAAAGATTTCCGTCAGTCCCGCCGGGCCTAATGCGACCCGTGCGCACGAGTGCAGAGATCCATACGGGCTGTGACTACATTTCCGTCCAGATGTTAAAGAAAAAAGAAAGAAACTGTCAAGCGTTCATTTGAAAATGCGATGCGTAACCTTGCGATGGACAACCATCCCATCGAATGGGGGCAGAAATACTCCTGGTGCTTCATGCATGCATTCCCCGCCCCCCCCCCGATTTTGGGGAAAAATCATAAATGGCAAAACGCCATATTCAGGTTAGAGTGAACCTGAATACTGAGGGTGGAAGAGAGACCGGCTTTTTAATTGGGGTGGGAGGAAGGGGTTAAACTAGCGATCCTATTCATGGGAAGGTATTATACTCCTCCAAATCTCTTAATTCATGTTTTACCACATCACTACACGTTGTCGCTCATCCATGAACCAAAACAAAGAGCAAAGCACACGGGATGGTCATCATTTTTCAATTCCTATAAATTTAAATGCACATCAAAGTTAAAGTATACTGTCGACCGCTTAGAAATTAAATTTAGTTTATGGGAGAGACGAGCAAGATTACCGCAAACTGGTGAGCAGGATGAGGTTTTTATGACTGCACCCATTTACAGATCTTTTGAAAATGCAATTATTCCCACAGCAACACTCTCCTTATGTTTTCAAGTCAGTCTCTGCCAGGGTCCATCCGATGCTAAAAACCTCAGATATAGGTTTTGTTTTTCCTTTACGGATGTGATCACAGCCGTCAAGGCGTATGTTTTCTAAAAATATTGCTGTTCCTCCGATAGTACATATTGTGAAGAGTTCACTTACCTTCCGAAGTGGAGAAGGTTAATTGACTTAATGGAGATCTGAGTTGAAGAACGGAACTGCAAGTATAGTTTCACAGATCCGAAGTCGATCCTTGTGGTACGATTTTTGTCGTATTATTTCGTCGTCGATTTGTAGTAATTCTACTTCGGATGCTATGTTGAATAAATCATCAATTACCAGCAAGCAGGAGAGCAGAATGAGGTCATAGCATTGTAGCCGTATTTCCGGCTGTGAAGACACGCGACAACCAGAAATACGTCTGCGCTCGCAAGTTAATAGAGTGGCAATCTAGGCATAGAAAAGAATGGAATTAAAAGTGCCTTTGAAGTAAAAAATAATTGCTGCTTATTTCAAAGGCTTTTCAGAGTAAAGAAGAATGGCGTTTTCCTTTTTGGAATACCGTAAATCCTCGAATTAGCGCCTCCCTCGAATAAGCGCCCCCTTCGAATAAGCGCCCCTCCCATCGGCCGAAATTTAAAATAAGCGCCCCCCTCGAATAAGCCCCCTCCCCTCCCCTCCCCCCATTTTGTGGACGAGTAATGAGACAACAAAGGGTGTATAGTTTTCGTCATGTAGTATTAGATTTGTACATTGTTTCAGTTTAGTGAACACGTTGAACACGTTAAGTTCTAATGGTGCCGCGATTTGAACTTTAGGATCAGCTTTTTATGTCAATAAATAGCTTGTGTTGGTGTTTACGCGCAGATGATGCTACGATTTGGGAAAAAATTAAATAAGCGACCTCCCTCGAATAAGCGCCCCCATCTTATCCTAAATTTGAAATAAGCGGGCGCCAATTCGAAGATTTACGGTATCTTTTTTCGTGTTAGAGATTTTATTTTATCATGCAAATGAAGAAAAGTGATGACGTCATGAAAAGTTCCACTTAAAAAGTAAACGGCAATGAATCAAGAATATCTCTTGAAGTATTGGAGCAGTGTTCTTCAGATTTGGTACCAGAAATGTACATCATAGAGGAAACAGAATGACACCTACTATGTTGTTGCCATGGAAACACTCTTGGCTCCAGCCTCTTTCTGTGAAAAATCAAATATTCGAGGATTTACGGTATATTCGATCTATCGAGCCTTTCGAACGCCGCCAAAGTAGACTAAACATGTAAAGTACCGCGTGAACGCACTGCTCTAATCTTTGGTTACTACTAGCAATATTAAATGTTTGACCGACTCGCTTGCTAAGAAATCCATTAAAGTTTGCCGTTTATTGTTAAACTTAAGCTAATTAGACCACCAACTGTTTTCGCGAGATTTCCGGCCGTCAATCGCTAAGGGACGGACCATTAGAAAAACGATGGGGGGGGGGGGGAAACAACAAAAAAAATTCAAGGAAGGGTGACTCAAAAAAAAATCGTGCAAAG